TTTGTGGTTGTAATGTGACAAAATATGGAAAAGTTCAAGGGGTATGAATACTTTTGCAAACCACTGTATTTTGGATTTCTGTTTCAAAAACTTTGTGCACACATTGCACTAAACACTAACAATCAGCACAGATACCGCAAAGAATTATGGCCATTTTGTGGCCCAGATGTGATTAGAGGTGGTCCGTGCATGGGCCTGCACAACACAAACCGAACCACAACTGGGCCAGTTATGGCATGCCACTTTTAAAAACAGTACCGTCATTGCCTGACCTGGCCCACATCCTGTTGACAAACCACTTGCAATCCCAGCCAGCTTGACACCAGATCTGGCCCACGCCTGTCTGCGATGATCTTTTAGGTACCAGATCCACTTGGGCCACAAGGATGTCCATCATCAAACAGGTATTAGAAACAAAACCTGAAAACTTAGTTCTTTCACAACATAAAGCTGAAATGATTGAAGTCCTTAGTGCTTCTTTAGTGCTTGTTTATAATTGCTGTTACTCCAAACGACCTTTTTCTTTAGTAGGTCTGTGTTTTTTTGTTTTTGATCCCTTGTGGCTGTGGTCTCTCAGGTTTTGCTGTGTGACACTTATGGAGTTTCTGGGCTACGATGGTGCAAAGAGGTTTGCCAACTCCAAGCTTGGCTGAACATTCATAGCATTTAAACATTGTGCCACATTTCATCCATTCTTACTATCAGAGACCTTCGTAATACCTCTCCCAGTCTTATAAGTCTGTTAATTCAAAGTCAYTCTCGGCTCTATCATCTCCTGCACAGTTTCCTGTGGTATTTCCTTACTCTTCACGTTCACACTGACCATGTATATGTTGTTCTCGTTGATGCTGCTGCTGGATTCGTGGCATTGGTTGGAGCCTAAGCACATCCACCCCAACTGCTTCACTTCCCGCTTGAAGCTCTGGCTGAAGAAGTAGTAGATCAAGGGGTTGTACACAGTGGAGCTCTTGGCGAACATGCAGGGCAGCAGACTGACTTCAGGCGAGATTTTGCTGCTGTCGTTGAAAATGGACCACAAGCTCACCAAACCGTATGGCGTCCAGCAGCCTATAAAACCTACGCTGATTAAAACAGCAATCTGAAAGGGAATGTGAAGAAAGTTGATCAAAGTCAAGCAGTAGTGCAAAAGCTATGAATGAAACATAAAAAAAGATTAATTTGGCTATAAGTCTGTGGTTTGACCTGATTTATTCAACTTCAGCAGTCCTACTCTAACAGAAAGGAATCCACACTTTCACTATCAACCAAAATAAACCTGGAAAAAAAAGGCATATTTTTAATGTTTAGTTCTTTTGCTTACATAGAGGGGTGTGACCCAACTGCCGTTCTTAATGGTGTCAACTTCCAGTTTCCGGTCCTGTCTCTAATTAGAATGTTGAAGACGCATAAACAGGAACACCAAAGCCATTCAGAAGAAGGCGAGGTGTAAAAAGGAAATTCAGAAACATTTTAGGTTTGTTAAATACTATTAATATTGTTAATATTTGTCTGATTGGATTTACCACCCTGAGATGTACCAGCGGACATTAAGGCAGAGGGAAAAATTGTTATTGTCTGCCTGCCCAAAAATACTTCTTCTGTTCCCAAACAACTGATTACAGATTCGTGCCCCCCCTGCCCATGTGAGGCTCCTCCCTACCTCTCACTCCTTTTAATCTGATCTCCTGAAGGTTAACCTGGAGTTACACAGAGTGGACAATCCAACACCAATATTCTGAACTAATGGCTGAACTGCGGGTTTCGGGTTTTTCTTTTGGGAGGCTGGGTTCTTTGGACTCATTCCCTCTAAACTCACTTACTCCTGGCTAATAAATGTGCTCTTGCTTGTTGAGGTTTTTTCATAAACACCATAGTTTGCCATATTTTGTTGATATAATATGATGTTTTGTTTTGTTTTTTTCCTCTCTTAACCTTCTGTGGTATTTAGTTTTTCTTTTTAAAGGTAGCATGACCCCTGCTGGTTGCCACATGACCTGATCACCTGTTCCCCTGTTTTTTGTCRTGTGTGTCTTTTTGAATGGATATTCTTAAATATAATTTCATTGTGTTCTGCACAATGAAAATAAAGGCATCATCAATCAATCAAATATGGTGCTCATCTGGTGACACTGAATAAAAAGAAAAATGAGCAGCCTTTGAGCAGCCTTGTCTCTTTGAGAGAGTGACAGACATGTTGGAGTCAGATTATACATATATAAATACACTATTTTAGTTTTTAACTGTTCAAAGGTACCCCAAACTCATTATTATAGCGATTTTTATTTTGATGTTTGTTTTATTTAAAAATTACACTTCAAGTTTTCCATCTAAATGGTTTATTTTTAATTGTAGCCTACTAGTATTTATCAGATGACTTTGAACTACTGTATGTATGTGTCTGGAAACTGTTTTTTTTAATTTTTTTAACTGTGATCTTAAACAAGACATAACTCTGACTCCTTCTGCAGCAAAGGCATGAGTCCATTTTGAGTGATGAGTGGTTGTGGGCAGCACTAATCTAAATATTAGTTGCACTAACCATAAAGCACTAACTCAAATATTTACAGTGGGGTGCGAAATTTTGGGCAGCCTTGTTAATTTTCCTGATTTACTGTACCTTTATAAATCATTGATTGTTTGGATAAAAAAAATCTGTTAAATATATCATMTAGGGGACAAACAGGGTAATATTTGAGAAGTGAAATGAAGTTTATATGATTTACASAAAGTGTGCAATAATTGGTTAAACAAAATTAGGCAGGTGCATAAATTTAGGCACTGTTGTCATTTTATTGATTTAAAAACCTTTAGAACTAATTATTGGAACTCAGATTTGGTTTGGTAAGTTCAGTGACCCTTGATCTCCACACACAGATGACTCCAATTATGAGAAAGGGCATTTAAGGGGACAATTGTAGGTTTTTCTCCTCTTTGCATCTCTGAAGAGTCGCAGCATGAGAGTCTCAAAACAACTTTCAAATGAGCTGAAAACAAAGATTGTTCACCGTCATGGTTTAGGGGAAGGATACAGAAAGCTATCTCAGAGATTTCAGCTTTCAGTCTCCACTGTGAGAAACATTGTGAGAAAATGGAAAACAGGCGCAGTTCAAGTCAAGGCTGGAAGTGGCAGACCAAGACAAGTTTCCAATAAACAGAAGCGAAGAATGTTGAGAACAGTCAGAGTCAACCCACAGACCAGCACCAAAGACCTACAACATCATCTTGCTGCTGATGGAGTCACTGTGCATCGTTCTACTATTCAGCCCACTTTACACAAGGAGATGCTGTATGGGAGAGTGATGCAGAGGAAGCCTTTTCTCCACCCACATCACAAACAGAGCTGCTTGAGGTTTGCTAAAGCACATTTGGACAAGCCAGTTTCAATTTGGAATAAGGTGCTGTGGACTGATGAAACTAAAACAGAGTTATTTGGGCAGAACAAGGGCCGTTATGCATGGAGGAAAAAGAACACAGCACTCCAAGAAAAACACCTGCTACCTACAGTAACATGTGGTGGTGGTTCCAGCATGCTGTGGGGCTGTGTGGCCAGTACAGGGACTGGGAATCTTRTTAAAGTTGAGGGACGCATGGATTCCAATCAATATCAGCAGAACCTGGAGACCAATGTCCAGGAATCAGTGACAAAGCTGAAGCTGTGCCGGGGCTGGATCTTTCAACAAGACAACAACCCTAAACACTGCTCAAAATCTACTGAGGCGTTCATGCAGAGGAACAATACAACGTTCTGGAATGGCCATCACAGTCCCCAGATCTGAATATTAATGAAAATCTGTGGTGTCACTTAAAGAGAGCTGAATCATCAAACCTGAATGAACTAAAGATGTTTTGTAAAGAAGGGTGATCTGAAACAATGGTTCCCAAACTTTTTATCTTCTGACCCACAAAATAACAGTAGCAGAGACCTGTGCCCCCAACTATTTTTGGATGATAAACATTTGTATCAGGTCAACTAAACAATAGTTAATATTAATAGTAACAATATTTTTATACTACATTTATCCATTTTAAATACACTGAGTACACCTTTGTAACAACCAAGGCAAAAATGTAATTAATTCTGAAAATCTTTTCAGGACCCCACCTTGATTTTTCGAGACCCCACTTATGGTCCCGACCCCAACTTTGGGAAACACTGATCTAAAATACCTTCAGCCACAATCCAGACTCTCATTACAAGCTAAAGGAAGCATTTAGAGGCTGTTATTTCTGCGAAAAGAGGATCTACTAAATATTGAGTTAAGATTTTTTTTGGTGCCCAAATTTATGCACCTGCCTAATTTTGTTTAATCAATTATTGCACATTTTCTGTAAATCATACAAACTTCATTTCACTTCTCAAATATCACTGTGTTTGTCCCCTATGTGATATATTTAACTGACTTTTTTATCCAAACAATCAATGATTTATAAAGGTAAATCAGGAAAATTAACAGGGCTGCCCAAACTTTCGCACCCCACTGTAAGTCCCCTAATTCTAAAGCACTAATATAATCCAGTTGACACATAAAACATTCTYCAGAGYCAACACGAGACAATATTTACTGTGTGCAGAATATTGTCACTTAGTGCCCTTGGTGGGCCAAATGGGAGTCACCTGCAGGCCTCATTTGGCTTGTGGACCCTGAGTTTGACACATGTGACCTTTAGATAAATGACGCATATAAACAAAATTTACGACAGCTTTCACCCTCAACTGTAAACAATAATATTGATCAATAACATTTAAAGATCTCAGTTAGTGCTTCTAAATTCAGCCCATAAATTTAGCAAGTGCTAATCCACTAATGAATTTAAAAAATAGCAAAAGCCCTAAGCTCTAATCAAGTTCCCCTATTAGTGCTTTAGTGGTTTAGGGGAACTGTGCCCACCACTGGTGATGAAGTTAAAAAAATTAGCTTTTTGTACAAACAACTCCAGTCATCACCTGTGTCTTACAGCTGCAACATAACACTAAGAAATAGTAGCATGTCATTTGTTTCTATAATAAAATACAACAGGTGTACAAATTAAAAATCAACAGCCTCTGCATGGAAATGACTGCAATAATTATCTTGTGGCCATGCATTAACTATCTCATGGCCACAAGTTATTTTGTTGTATGCATGCTCGGTATGAGGTGAAATTATGTGACAAAACCCACTAACTTACAATTAGCAGCCTTCTGTGAAGCTTAACAATATTGGAAACATGATTGCTGCTCATGGACTTCTTGTAGGTGAAGTAAAGCTTCAAAGCGATGCCAAAGTAGCAGCAGATGATGATGACACAAGGCACGAGCAGATTGACGGAGAACAAAGAGACGACGAACGAGAAGCCCTCCTGTTTCATCTGTCCCCAAGCCAGTGAGCAGGACAGGCCGAAGGGCTCCGGCCCATAGCGGCCCCAGCCCAGAATGGGGAACAGAGCCCAGATCAGAGCGTACAGCCAGATCCATATGCATAGAATCTTCACCTTCTTCCAACTGATTTTCTCCCCTGCAGAAAGAAATGGGGAAAAGTATTTTTTTGTCCTCTGCAATTAGTTGTGCAGTAAATTAGGCAATCCACAAAATAAAATGTAATCACATAAAGTCCTTGAGGGAAACTTACAGGTCCTTGCAAATTTTTTAGAGACATGGGTACCTCTTGAGGAAGTTAGTTTTATTTTGGAAAATACAAAATTAAAAGCTAGAATTCCTGGAAGGAATAAAAATCCAATAATGATTTTCTGAGAGTTTTATTAAAATCTATTCATTGGTTGTTGGGATATTTCATTAACACACACACTCACACACATGTTTGTTCTTGGGGACCTTCCATTGACTTCCATTCATTTTTTTTAGACTTTATATCCTAAACCTGACCATTTACCCTAAAATTAACCTCACAGGTACCTGACCCTAAAACTAAACTAAACTCAATTCACACCTTGGTCCTAAACCCAACCCCCAACCCACCAATGGCATTTAAACCAAATGGAGACTCGACTTTTGTCCCCAAAGGCACCAGTTGTCCCCAAAAGTTAGGATTTTTGGCTTAAAATTGCCCCCAG